TTGCCTTGCCCCGGGTGCTGACAACCCACGCTACGCCACTGCCAGTAGCTAGTACCAGTTCTGAGAGAAGGAGATTTACAGTTAGGAAAATATTGGGCAGGGGATGGGGAAGGAATTAGAATCCTTCAACCAATGCTGTAACCTCAATCCAAACTGGAGGTGTAGCTGCTTCTGAGTGACAAATCTCCCTTGTCATTGCTAGTTTGGCTCTCAGAAACCAGCTCAGGACAGACCATTGCAGAACAGGCGAAGAAGAGGGTTCAAGCCACATTTCTTGGAGAGAGAACATGGGTGTTACACAAGAGAGAAACCATGTTTTCATCTGAAATGCTGGACTGCATGTTATGATCTACTGATTAAATTTACAACCCTAATTTTCAGAAAGAATTGATGAACCGACAATCTGTAGCTTGATTCCAACATGAAATTAAGACTGCTCTAAACCCTGAGGCAGCTTTGTTGCCCCACAGTGTGTCGGGTGACATACTACTGTCAAAGCACAGAAAACAGCTTTATTTCTTTGCAAGGACAATTTCACTTGCCCATAAAATTCACCCACCTTTTATCAGTGCCATCCACAAAGATATTGTGGCATCTGTAAGATATCCCCATCTCCAATGTGCATCGTCTTGCAGTCTCCAGAGCCAACAAACTGTCAAATTAGAACCGGCTCCTGACAGCTTTATGACACATAATCTTGTTCACAAAGAAAATGGCCCGAGACCTCCTGCCTGTTACAGCTGCCAGAATGGAAATGTTTTTCATGTCTCTGTGATAAGTTTACATCTCCACAAAGGAGACAATACATCTGCCGTTGCCTTGAACCAATCACAATGCAAAAATTTGATATCAAATATAAACCAGCTTTCCTCCTTTGTAAGATACCTATTTTATGAGTCCAGCAACTAATGACTATTTCACAGAATCACCTGGTTGATTGGAATCCACTGAAAGATCTCTGGTGATCTGCAGGAAATCAGCAAGGGCTTCTGAAGCCCAGTTGTTGAAACAATACAAAACAGCTTTCTTTTGACTTAAACAAGGCTGTTAAAATCAAGAAAGCCAACCAGCAATGGAGTTACATGTGAAAGGACTAATAAACGACCTTACTTTTCCATCTATAAGACAAGGTTTTTTTTACTACAAAATAATGTTAAAAAACGGGGGGGGGCACGGATAGTGCCTAGGAGGGGACTGGTGATTGGTTGTAGCTGTGCGAATGCTGACTACTGTTGGTGAGAGGACAGGCGCTTGTTGGCTTCTGTGACGTGAGCGATTGTCAGCGTCTGTCATTATGGTTAGTGAATTTCTGCATCCCCCTCCCCCCCCAAAGAGCTCACCAAACAGCCTTGGACAATTCCCCCCCCCCAAAAAAAAACCACAAGCTCAACAACTTTTGGAAATCCTCCCCCCAAAAAAGCTCTGGGCCATGTTGCCCCATTTTTTTGAGTCCCCCAAAATAGGGGGGCTCTTATACACAGGGGCGTCTTATACAGGGGGAAATACGGTATGTTCAGTACTGGTCCAGGCGGGGGGGGGGTGGAATCCTAGACTCAGAATATGCTCAAGGGTACTTCATTAATTCTACCTGTAGGTCTTTTGCACCTGAAGTTGGTAGATCTTTAAAGGTAAAGGTACCCTGCCCGTACGGGCCAGTCTTGACAGACTCTGGGGTTGTGCGCTCATCTCACTTAAGAGGCCGGGGGCCAGCGCTGTCCGAAGACACTTCCGGGTCACGTGGCCAGCATGACAAGCTGCATCTGGTGAGCCAGCGCAGCACACGGAATGCCGTTTACCTTCCCGCTGGTAAGCGGTCCCTATTTATCTACTTGCACCCGAAGGTGCTTTCGAACTGCTAGGTTGGCAGGCGCTGGGACCGAACGACGGGAGCGCACCCCGCCGCGGGGATTCGAACCGCCGACCTTTCGATCGGCAAGTCCTAGGTGCTGAGGCTTTAACCACAGCGCCACCCGCGTCCCTGGTAGATCTTTAGGTTCTAGCAAATCTGACAAGCCTGAAACGCCTGCTTTTAAACATTCTGAAGCATTATATAAATTATTACTCTTTTACACCATAATTCATTCTCTCTTCTATTCTTCACCCAAATTGTAAAAGCATGCTAGGAAGAATGTCATTTTAACTCCCCCAGTTCTGCTTTTAGCAGCGAGGGGCACCCAAAGGACAACAGATGAGGACAGATACTTTTCCCAGAGCCGCATGTTGTTTTTTAGAGGTGTGTGGCTCCCTCTACTGGGCGGCATAGGTAGCAAGAAGTAAACTTGAAAGAATTTGAGGGCTAATTTGGAAGTTCATTTTTTAAATAGCTATCAATGGGAATGTTCTTTATAAAGGAAGAAAGGAAGTTAATGTACCCATACATTTTTCAGGAAGTCACCTTATCAGTACCCAAATGTTCAAAACAACACATTGATGTTTATTTTTTTGTAATATGTCCAGGGGAGTTAATTGATGAATAGGCACAAAACCCTATATTTACTTACTGAATTAAAATAAGTGGGGGGTGTCCTTGTGGCTGTCTAAATCAGGGTTTCCCAAACATAGGTCTCCAGCTCCTTTTGGACTACAATTCCCATCATCCCTGACCACTGGTCCAGCTAGCTAGAGATGCTGAGAGTTGTACAGTAGTCAGTCCAAAAACAGCTGGAGACCTAAGTTTGGGAAACACTGATCTAAATAATATAAATCATGTGTGGGGAACCTTTGGCCCTCCAGATGTTGCTAAACAACAACTCTCATGATTGCCAAAGGTTCCTGACACATGATATAAAAAATATAAAATTCAGTTAACAGTGAACTAAATTCTCAAAGGGTACTGGACCTTATATAGCAAAACAATACTATCCATGCACAGTAGGCTTGGGAGAATCCGAGTAGCACAAAACAAATGGGGAGGGGGAATCCTAAGGGAAGAACAAAACAACAGCAGCAGAAGAATGAGAATTTAACATGCTCAGTGGGCAAATAATGCTGACTGACAGTTCAGGAAAATGAAGAGAAAAGCGAAAAAAGCAGGACACTTTTACAGTAAATTCAGACATTGTCATTGCTAAGCAATTGTAACCAGTGCTTTTTTCCAGGGGGTACTCAAGGTACATACTACCGGCACCTCTTTTTTGTTGTTGTTAAAAAGTGTGGCACTTACTGTAACAACTTCACAGTGAGTACTAACCAGAACCTATTTCTCTAGGAAAAAAGCACTGACCCTAACCCTATTCCATACTCCTTTTTTCAGACCTCAAGTGTAGTGATTTCCCCTCACTTAAATCACTATTGCCACCCAGCCCAGGGGTATTGGGCCTTTAATTAGAAGCCGCCTCCTTCTATTTAAAATGGCCATAACAATATGGATAAATTGTACCTCAATTGGCCTTTAATTAGTTCCTGTTCTCAGTTTTCACAGGTGCAAATTGGCAATTTAGTATCATACATTAACACAACCACTGCATACTTCCATTGCATACCTAAAGTTTAAAGCCAGTTTAATCTACCATGGTTTATCTGTCCCGCTGCCCACTAAGATATCCCTTGAATTGCAGATCTGTATTATTCACTGCATGTTCCTTTTATTTTTCCTCCTTGTACTTTTCCATGTTTTTTGAAAATCAGTAAAAGATATTTAAAAAGGAGGAAATTCTACTGACTTCACTGGTAAGTGGGGTTAGGATTGCAGTCTATGTTGTGACCCTAATTAAAAGCATAAGGGATTACATATTTTAAGAAACAGCATCATTATTAGTTGCTCCTGCTGTCAACAAGGATACATTCAATCCACCACCCCTGTGGTTATTCCGCCACCAATAACTCTTGACTTTAGCCCATCAGAATGGCACCATGAAACATTTCTCCGTGTATAACCTTGCCCTTAAATTAAGGACTTAAGTTTTCTTTTTATGCAATCAAATCAACTACGCTGAAATTTGCATTAGTATGTTTAAATGGTTTTGCAAATTTTCCTGTATGCTGCTTCCCATCACAAATCACCATATTTTGGCTTAACAGAATTTAGAGAGGTTTTTCAAGCAGTGATGAGTCACTACCTGGACACATACTGAAGCATTCTCAAGGCTCTTTTGTTACTCCCAAATCTCTTAGGAAAGATACATTATCTTACTTCCTCAATGGGGGTGGAATCACCTGGTTTTAGTTCTTACGTTTCTAATCCTGTGAATGATAGGAACATTGGTAACTTTCTGCAGTCACTTCCCAAATTATGGGTTTGGAAAGAAAGATTGTCCTGCAGCGGGAAAATGACAACTGCATCTGTCAGTGACAAAATGCTGGAAACGGATTGCCTTGTGGTACTTCAGTGTATCTTGCATTACAAGAACTCTCCGATGAGGAGAGAGAGTGCCAGATGAAGAACGAACAAGGGGTGGCAAAGTCAGGGCAACATCCAGCACTGACATTATGTTCCTCTTCAGTAGATCTAGTTTGACAGTCAGAACCCAGGAGATGCTAACAAGGGCCAACTGTAGCAAAGGCAATGGTGCCTCACCTGCTCTGAGCCATGCTTGGCTGACAATCAGCAAAGCACAAGAGAGGTGTGGACTCATGCCCTGTATTGTTAGGTTGTTGTGTTTGATGTCCCTAAAAGTGATCTCAGCTACAGCTGATCAACCTGCAAGGCAGAGGGTTTGGCTCACAATCTGCCATTAAGCACCAACAAAACACTCTATAAATTCTAATGCAACCCAAAGTCAGCATGCCAAGATAATGGAACAGACATCTAACCAAAAATAACTGCCTTTGATAATTCATTTGAAATTGTTAGCTGCCTTGGACTCATAATGAAACACAGGACATGAATTTATTACAGCACATGAATAAAACAACTTGAAACAAGCTCTTGGAAGCTCAATAGGCCCAGATGAACTTTTCACTGAAATACACTTCAATTTAAACTCTTATCGGTAAACATATTTGTAACACATCAGTCCCTTCCCTATGTAAAGTGATTTAACAATGTTTTGGATACTTACGGATGTAACCATTCTCAGGGTCTTTCTCCACACTTAACGTACAAGAGACTTCAGTTGTATTCTTGATGGGCTTGACAGTTAGCAAGAACCAGCCTTGTTCTCCATATAAAGCTCTCCAACTGAACGAAAATGCATAAGAACAAATCAGAAAGAATAAATGGGGAGCAACTGTTATTCAGAGGCATACACTGCCTTTAATGGTGGAGGTTGAACATAGCCATGATGGCTAGAGGCCATGGATGGATAGCCTTTTTCCTAAACTAAAAAGGCCCAAATCTTGAAGCATTTCCATAAAGGAGAGTTGCTCCAGCACCTTGATTATTTTGGTTGCCCCCTTCTGCACCTTTTCCAGCTTTACAATATCCTTTGTGAGGTGTAGGCCTCAACAGTTGATATCCCAGACAATATCTGGGAAATACAATTTGATGAGGGCCCACTGTAACACACCTTATTGAAATTGTATTCCCAAAGGGACAAATTGTAGCCTTAAAACATATACATATATACAATTTAAAATATTTTGAAACCAATGACATTTCAGTGATACATCTGCTGGCTCTTTTACTTCTTACATATTTCTCCTGAAAAACCAGAAACACAATACTGTGGAAACAGGACACACAAATGTATATTTTCTTATCTTAAACTATTTTTGCAGGCTTAACTTCTAGCATCAAAGAGCTCCATCAGATGTACCCCAAGTACATTTCTGTTGGCTTAAAAAAAAAATTTTAATGCATGTATAAGGAGAGAGAAGATTCAAATCTACCTTACAGATTAGTGAAAATAGAATGGTGTGCAGCAAAGAGAGAAGAAAGCCAAAGACAAATGGATCAAAATTAATATAATTCACTAAAATATGAGAATAGCAGAAAGGGCAGGAAATGCATTGTCTTGCTTATCAAGGGGGAAGTCAAGTACATGAAAGGACAAACTTGAGGGAACATAAAAAATCTGACAGCGACGCAAATTTGGAGCTGATGTCAGGCAGCACATTTTAAATTAGGAACCATCTGCCAGTCGCTACACTCACAGCACTGAAGTTCAACCAAAGAACAGCCAAAGGGTATGGGGAGGGCAGTGGTTTTCAGATGAGGGTGAGGGAGATTCAGCTTCTCCCTCGGTACTACTGTCCCATTTTAAGACAGCATCAGTAAATCATCCCAGTTCATTCAAGCAAAGGGGGGAAAGGAAGAAGGTGGAGGGATAAAAGTCCTATTATGCAATGCCAGAGGTCACGATACCAATATCAATCTTCATTTTTCACACTAGGGTCAGCTTCAATTTTTCATTCCATCCTTTGACACTGGACTGACCCCCTGATACTGCTGACTATAGTACTGATTATAGAAGACCATGATAGTTATTGGGACTCTGCCATATTCAAGCAGAAAGGGGCAACCAGACTGAATCCCAAATCCTATGGCTTTAGCCCCAGAATTTATTCTTCAGATTGTAGCCAAAGTTGGTTCCATTCACAGTAGGCCCAGTGAAAGGAGGTGTTGGGGAAGGAGGCTGCAACTAAATCCTCTCAATCCCTGTTCACAGATTTTGCTTAGCTCTAAGGAGTACCAAGTCCTTGATGCTGCAAAATCTTCCAGAGAGATAGCTATGTTAGTCTTGTAGCACTTTTAAAAGGCTAACCAATTTATTATTTGTTACTGCAAAAGTATTATACTGCAGACACTCTACCCTAGTTGTCTTTCATTTCTCAATCTAAATTTGGCCCGACTGATTACTATGAAAAGATATACCGTATTTTTCCATGTATAAGACACCCCCATGTATAAGACGGCCTCAAATGTATTTTTTGAGCCCCAAATTAAGAAATAATTAATTGCAACATTCCGTGTATAAGACAACCCTCAATTTTCAACTTAAAAAAAATATATTGGGGGGGGGATATAGTCTTATACACGGAAAAATACAGTATATGGTAATGCGATCAGTTCTGACAGGACTTTTGCTTTAAAATTGTTTCCTGGGCTGAGGAAAGGATTTTACCATTGATTTTGGAGATGATATGCTGCTCTTAAATTCACGTGATCCCTGGAAAGAAAAAGCTAATGCTTCTACAGACCATTTCAAAATTACCTTTTTGAGCAAGGTTTTGAACCATGAAGCCCAAATTCACTCTCTTGAGCAGAGAGTGAACTCCAAGACATCAACACACTTGTTTTGGAACTTTGGCACTGAGCCTTGCAAATGTTTTAGCCTTTGTATTTCTGTTTGTCTATATTGTGTATAAGCAGATTTCTGATCTCTCTCTCTCTCTGATATATTAATTAAAACACTAGCATGTCAGGAGTGGTGTTAGTTGTATAAGTGTTAAGGCAGGGTTAGAGGTTGCAAGTAGGAAAATAAAGGTAATGTACTGTTAAAGATTTCTTTTTGTTGGGGGTCTGTCTGGATGAGTTCCTTCCAGGCCTGTGATTCTGCATCCAGTGGAATTTAGCATCTAGCAGATGATGCCCCCTAAACCAATCAGCCAGTTTATTTGTAGGGTAATAGCCTTATCTGGCCAGTTAAGTACTGTTGACCTCCTGCTGCCATAAAGACAAATGGGTGAGCCTTTTCTCACCTCATCTGGCTGGATGACACATTATCCTAGAATGGGGAACAATAGGCCAAGCGGGATTGGGAGGATGTGAGAGACTTTTGCAATGCAAAAAGGCCAAGTTCATGCAACCAACTGCTTATCTCTAAGTCACAGACAAAAAAACTAAGAGAAAGTACAAGAATCTGAAGGGAGTGTCCAATCACCTCTGGATTGTAGATATGGCCACTAAACACCCAATCTGTTTCCAAGTTGTACCCCCAGTAGAATTTGATTTCCAGACTTTGGATAAGCAAATTTCAAAAGTTCTCCCAGACCTCTGGCCTGCCTTAGGAACAAATAAAACACCCTTGTCTGTATACTCAGCAGCAGAGAATATACTGATACTGTATTTTTCCGTGTATAAGATGCCCCCTATTTTTAGGGACTCCAATTTAAGAAATCCCCACCATTCACTATCCATGTATAAGACAACCCCCAGTTTTTCACATAATTTTTAAGTAAAAAAAAACCTAGTCATATACAGGGGAAAGTACAGTAATCCTCTCAGGGAGACTCACAGAAGCCCATAAACAACTTCTCCCCGATATGCTGTCATTCTGGGTGTAAGGTTTTTGCCATGAAGTATCATTTTGAGTAATATTGAAATTATACAGTACAGGAAAGTTTTCGCCTCATGATTCCCCTATGTGTGAAGTGGAAAATAAAGGTAAAGTACTGTCAAAGATTTTGGGTTTTTTTGGGGGGGGGTCTGTCTGGATGAGTTCCTTCCAGGCCTGTGATTCTGCATCCAGTGGAATTTAGAATCTAGCAGAAGATGCCCCCTGAATCAATCAGCCAGTTTATTTGTAGGGTAATACAGTGGTACCTCGTGATGTGAACGGGATCCGTTCCGGAGCCCCATTCGTATCCCGAACAGAGCGTAAGACGCGGCAGCGCATCTGTGCATGCACGGGTCACGTTTTGCCGCTTCTGTGCATGCATGTGACGTCATTTTGACCGTCTGTGCTTCACGAGCAGTGAAACCCAGAAGTAACATGCTCCATTACTTCTGGGTCGCCGCGGAGCGCAACCCGAATGCATTCAACCTGAAGCATATTTATCCCGAGGTATGACTGTAGCCTTATCTGGCCAGTTAAGTACTGTTCACCTCCTGTTGCCATAAAGACAAATAGGTGAGCCTTTTATCACCTCATCTGGCTGGATGCCACGTTATCCTAGAATGGGGAACAATAGGCCAAGGGGGATTGGGGGGGTGTGAGAGACTTTTGCAATGCAAAAAGGCCCAGTTCATGCAACCAACTGCTTATCTCTAAGTCCCAGACAAAAAAAGAGGCCTGCAACTCAGACAAACTGCAAGAATCTGAAGGGAGTGTCCAATCACCTCTGGATTGTAGATATGGCCACTAAACACCCAATCTGTTTCCAAGTTGTACCCCCAGTAGAATTTGATTTCCAGACTTTGGATAAGCAAATTTCAAAAGTTCTCCCAGACCTCTGGCCTGCCTTAGGAACAAATAAAACACCCTTGTCTGTATACTCAGCAGCAGAGAATATACTGTATTTTTCCGTGTATAAGATGCCCCCTATTTTTAGGGACTCCAATTTAAGAAATCCCCACCATTCATTATCCATGTATAAGACAACCCCCAGTTTTTCACATAATTTTTAAGTAAAAAATACCTAGTCATATACAGGGGAAAGTACAGTAATCCTCTCAGGAGACTCACAGAAGCCCATAAATAACTTCTCCCCGATATTATATCATGTAAGGTTTTTGCCATGAAGTATCATTTTGAGTAACACTGAAATTATACAGTACAGGAAAGGTTTCGCCTCATGATTCATCCCCTGAGTGTGTGAAGCGGCCTTTAGTTCCCACCATTTTCTCTCAGAACCGCCCCCCTGAAATGCATCTGTGCACGATTTACCTGCAAACAGGGGCAACTGCATCTGCTTCTGCAAACATTGTGACTGTGAGAGCAAAGCGGGAACTAACCGCCACGCTTGTGTTTGAAGGAGCTCCCATGGAAGCCGGTGAAACCGTGAGGAGAGGCTGAGGCAGACACTAAAGAAACAAGGGAATAAACAGACACGTCTTTTATGATTTAAGACCCCAATGGGGGTAGTAATCTAGATGAGGGGAAGCAGGCTGTGCTGATGGGATATTAATCTGAATGCCAGCAAACTATCTAGAATAGAGTGGATCTGAGGAACTCTATTTTATTATCAAAACAAGGAGGCCGACTCTTGCAATGTATCCCAGCAAACTATCTAGAATAGAGTGGATCTGAGGAACTCTATTTTATTATCAAAACAAGGAGGCCAACTGTTGCAATGTATCCACAGGCCTTAACAGGCCTAACAGGTGTTCAGGGCTCCAGCTAGCTTGGCACAATAAGATAGACACATTTGTCTTTCCCAACATTCCTGAAACAGAGAGAGAGAGAGAGAGAGAGAGAGAGAGAGAGGGAATATAAACGGAAGGGCTTTATTTCAGGGATGTCAGCCAGGCCTAAACTGGATAACTTAATTGCAACCAGTTCTGGGTGAGAAAAAGAAAAATGTGGTCTCCTTCCTCTCTCCTGAGGTCTTCCTGCCTAAAACAGGGAGATTTTTGTGGCTGTTTAACCTGTTTAACCTTTTAACTTTTTTAACCCTAATATCCTCCTCCTTCCAGTAGACTAATTTCCTCTCTCTCCTCCATTTTTCTATTGAAAAAAGGGTGCTGGAACTCCCTTGTTCTCTTATAATGGCAATGGAGTCCACCTGAGCTGTGCCAGAAGTGAGTTCCAGAAAGTTCACAGCTGAAAAATAAGCCCTGCTACTATCATTTTTATTAATTTATGAATTGCCTTTTATATATGTTTATTCAAGTTTCAAGGCAATTTGCGAGCAGACGTGTGTGAATCTGATCTTATGCTATGGTTTATCTCTGTAGATCATTGGCATAACTTTAAAATGACACGAGATTTTCCATCATGATAAATCTTGCATGACTTTAGTATAAGCCTGATACTGGCCTCATCTCAGATTCAGACTATGTAAAGGTCAACACATGCAAATCCAGTTTCTATTAGTCTATTCAAACTGCTGAATGGATGGCTTCAAGCTATTGCTGGTACAGGAGGCAGACAAAAAGATTGCCAGGTTCAGTTAACCCACATTAGAAGTGGAAAGAGGAGGGAGGAAAATATATCCGTTTGTCCTTAATGCGTAGCAGAAGTGTGCTGACTTTTGGGGAGCACTGGGTAAATTCTGGAGCTAGAACAACTAACTGCCTACTGGGAATCTGTTGTTTTTTAAAATAAAAAATATTATTCCTTGTAAGGAAGGGAGAGGCTTTGGAATGAACAAAACAGAACCAATTACTGCCCCTTTCTCACTTTTCCCACCCTCCTGAGACATTGGCTAAATGACTAAATGTTAGCTTATCACCTTGCATGTGTTTTGCTTAACAAAAGAGTGAAAAATGGTATGCTAATGAGCTATTGACTGAATCCAGGAAGGTCTTTATTACGTTCTTATACTATCTGGTGAGGAGTTGAGAAATCCCATATTGATTTGAAATAACTAGCCTGATCTGTGGGCTGCAAGCCTGTGGTTATTTGTAGTGCTTCACAGAAACACTAGATGCTCTGTGATCAAGCAGCTAACAAATTCTGCAATACCACAAACCCTCACCCCCCAAAAACTCAGCTGATTCCCCACACATTATTACAGATAGCACAGCCCTTATTTTCTCAGCGATGCCCTTTTTTAACTTACTTTGTAGCAGGCTTCAGAGACATAGAAAGCAGCAATTCGTTCAGGAAGGTAATTGTTGACAGAGAGCAGGGCCTGGTCAAGCTTCAGTTCATTATCTAATTGCACACAAGGAAAATGTTTTCTGAGCAACACATGCCATGCTAGAAACCACCAGCAAAATATTGCTTTCTGCCACAGTATTGCAGCTGTCAACTAGCAGAAAAATACAAAAAGAGCTTCGCATTTGACTATTATGTAGCATCTCCTATGCTCTTGGACATTTGCACACACATTTAGTGTTGTGTACAAAATTTGGCATCATCTCTGCCGAAGTGCAGGTTCAATTTTCTCTATATGTAAGCCCTCCCCTCACCAGCTTATGCTTTATATTGTTAAAGAGCTAAACATGTACATGGGGGCTGGGAGAGAGATGTACATTGAATGTCCCAAATATTGTTGAAATAAATGCTCCATTAATAATGAGGGCCAATTCCCTGCCTTAACTGATTCATTTTAAAAAAAAAAAAAAACTTGCTAAGAGACTCCATGCAAAACTCCCTGACATACAGAACTGAACAGCAGGCGAATTATCTAGCAATCATGCTGTTATGAGTTTAATACATTTTAACATATATTTGCAACACAGGCAGGAATGTTTGGATTGTAATGTGTTTGCCCATTGTAAACAGAACCAATTACAATCCATAAAACCAAACAGCCAAAAAAAATGTAAGCTACCTATTTGAAAAACACTAGGCTTACCTGAATTGCTGTTTTGCACAAAGCTCATTCCTAAGAAAAGCAAAAAGACAGTCTTTGCATTTGTCGTCATTTTCTTAAGCAAACCTGTTTACCAGCGAACCTGTATGCGCTTCATTGCATAAGGATCAGAGGTCACAAGGATCAGAGGTCCTTAATTGCTTAATTACTTTCATATGTGTATATGAGATAAACAACAAAGGAATTTGAAGTCTAGGTCTCAGCTGGTAACTCAGCAAATGCAAATTACACATATGGAGTCTGCTCCCATATTTATTTATTTATTATATTGTTAGAGAAGTAGGACATACTATGCCCAACAGGTCACCACAAACTCTGCCACTTCTGTAACATACTGTACACACTAGCGGCAGGATATGAGAGAGCCAGAAGTCAAGTGCTCCAACGCATTAGGGACATAGAGCTGCAATGTCATATGGGCAAAATGGATAAACATGCCACAATTAGAGACTTTGGGAGAGGGTTCTCACCCGCAAATTATCTGGCTGATTTACAAATACCTAAGTACAGACACTCCTTTACCCTGGCCAGATTTAACGTTCTGCCCTCTGCCCTGCTGCTAGGCAGATATGAGGGCAAACCATACGAGTCACGTGTTTGCCCATGTGGCTCATCGGAAGTGGAAACAAGTCTGTATGTATTGCTGCACTGTAGTTACTACGAGGATCTACGCCTGACTTTTATTGCCCCAGTTCTACAAAAGCTTAAAAATGAACCAGAACTCCAACGTATGAGAGCCTTGGTAGAAGATAAGGTTCCTGAAATTACATGTTGCCAAATTCTGTGTAGCCGCTATTAGGCGCAGGAAACAAGAGCTTTCCAATGCCAATATGCAGGCGAAGGCAAATACTTAATTTTATTTATGCTGTCTAATTTTAAATTGCTGTTATGGCCGAATCTGTATTGAAATTGTCCTTTGTTTTTTCCGGTGTTATGCTTCGCTGACTAGCTGTACGAGTTAATCTGGTCTGTGACCGTTTAATAAAATTTGATTTAACATACTGTACACACAACTCACCCTCAAATGGCTGCCATTGATAGGGAAACATCATAGTGACATCAAGAAACTATCAGTGTGACATCAATAAACTAAGGTAGCTGTACTACATATGTGGTTGGGGAGAAAACCTGGTTCAACGGTTGTCCATTCAGAATAGTTGCTGTTAGCATCCGTCTGTCTCAAGAGACCACAGAGTTCACCTCTGGAAGTGAAGTCAAACCACTGGAGAATCACAGTGCCTGCCTGTGGCTGCAGAGACTGGTAACTCAGGGGTCAGCAAACATTTTCAGCAGGGGGCCGGTCCACTGTCCCTCAGACCTTGTGGGAGGCCAGACTATTTTTTGGAGGGGTGTGTGTGGAATGAACGAATTCCTATGCCCCACAAATAACCCAGAGATGAATTTTAAATAAAAGGACACATTCTAATCGAGTAAAAACATGCTGCTTCCCAGACCGTCTGTGGGCAGGATTTAGAAGATGATTGGGCCTGCTCCGGCCCCGGCCTAGTTTGCCTACCCATGCTCTAACTACTGCCTCCTGCATTGTTTTTGCTGCGTTAGCAGCACCTAAGTGAATTCTCCAGGGCACAAGCCTGGGCAGCATGTATGGAGGTCCTGGCTGCCTCTCAGCCTCACTAATGTGGCCCAAAGGAAAGCAGAGCAATACGTTTGGCAACAACTTGGCTGCAGTTGCCGGAAGGAGGTATACAAGGCATCATCAAACTACCTTAGGAACTCCATTCAGATTTGTGTAGCCTTTTTTTTTCTCCCGATGATGTCCTGCAAGGCAGTGGGTAACTCACGAATAGACTCATTGAATTAATGACCATGACTAACTTAAATTCATTAATTTTAATGGGTCTCCTCCAAATAGAGCTTGGGTGGCACTGTGGTCTAAACCACAGAACCTAGGGCTTGCCAATCAGAAGGTTAGTGGTTCAAATCCCTGCGACGGTGTGAGCTCCCGTTGTTTGGTCCCAGCTCCTGCCCACCTAGCAGTTCGAAAGCACGTCAAGTGCAAGTAGATAAATAGGTACCGCTCCGGCGGGAAGGTAAACGGCGTTTCCATGCGCTGCTCTGGTTCGCCAGAAGTGGCTCAGTCATGCTGGCCACATGACCCGGAAGCTGTCTGCGGACAAAACGCCGACTCCCTCAGCCTATAGAGTGAGATGAGCGCCACAACCCCAGAGCCGTCCACAACTGGACCTAACGGTCAGGGGTACCTTTACCTTTAAATACAACCCTTGACACTGAGCTAGCATTTTTGGTGGCAGTCCTGTGTTGATGACTGTTTGATATGTCTCACCCATCTTTTTTGTATTTTACAGATAAGTTGTATTTGTGAATGTGATTGTTATGTATGTAAGCTGCCTTGAGTAAGGTACAAGCCTCAGAAAGAAAGGATGACAATTTTATAAATAAAACACAACACATAGTTTCACCCTCAGAAATGAGATCAGTGTAGGATTTGTCAAGATTCAAGCAGGTCAAATGATGCCCCATCTGTTATCAATTATTCTGTTTTACCTATCAAGTAACTGCATAATACATAAATAAGGAGCAGTCTACTCTCCACAACTGAAATGCAGTCAGAAGGTGCACTACAAATTTTGCTGGATCTAAGTTCAGCTACTTGGCAGAAAGATTTGCTTTCACGTTTCTTAGGAAGCATGGCTTTTCCTAGAGAAATGCACAATATTTCAATGTGTAAGAAATAACTCATAAACAGATTCAACTTGGGCTGCCCATTTTTTATCTCATTCAAACATTAGTATTAAAACCATGTACAACTGCATGATCCATTTTTTTACTAACAGCAAACAACATTTGCTGTAAATGTTTGTAAACACTGTTAGTAAAACATTTTTTACTAACAGCAAACATGAATCCCATCCAAATAATCACATGTAAAATACTTCAATGAATGATCAGAGACCACACAGTGTGTGACACCTTCACTTCTTCCTGAAGCATACTGCGGGGTAAACACCATAAACCATAATTTACATCTGATGCTGATGTTTTCAAATGACAATGTCATTGTTTTTTCTCCTCCAAGGCAAGTTCATTGGAGTCCAGAACCTTATTAACAGTATTTTGGGGTCTTGCTCTTAACTGGGCACTCCAGGGTAAAATGTCTTCTCGCTTCCTTCAGGTGGCTGCTGAAAACTCACTTCTCCCTTTCAGCAGATCCTCTCAGGCTCGATTTCTGCCGCTTTTTCTCCCTTTGTCCAATAATGCGAAAGAGCTTCTTCTTTGCTTCTTTCTGCCTCTTTATTTTCTCTTCCTCCTCTTTCTGCCTCCCTTTGAGACGTTCTTTAAGCTGCTGCCGATGTTTCACCTTGGCTTTCTTCAGCTTGTAACTGTGTACCGTACCCAAAGCAGACAGAAGTGCTGCAATCTTAACAAAAACAATGAACAACGTGTGATATGTACATATCGAACTTCAGGGCTGACAAATGGGAGCAAGAACTGGCAAATTAAAGGGCTGATTCCCCGGGATTTAATTGCTGTTAGAAAGGGAGATCCAGCACTAAAACGCTACTCACTAGCACTGGGAGGAAGATCAAAATCTTAGCAATGACATAAGCAGGAACTTCCCCCTCTCCTATCAAACAGATTCTTATATCAAACAGAGCTGTTGGTTGTGTTCCATTTATCACACCCATCTCCCTCTAGGATAATTAACACAGTTTGTATCTTGATAACTGTATCCACTGTTTCTTGGATCAAACACACTACACCACTGGTTCTCAAAGGGCGTGGCAGGAGAGGATGGCAAGTTCGGTGGGAAGATTCCAGGACAGCCAATATTATATTGTGGGAGTGATTCATGTTCTCATGTAGCTGCATTGTTTTGTACTTTGTGGATGTCCCATGATCAGCTTAGAAAGTAGCTGTGTTCTATGTTATAAATCAAGGAATTGTTTCATTTTGTTTCTCAGTATATTTCCTATCAATAACAAAAACTGGTGTGGTGCGAGCCGCAAATTTTTATTCTGGAAGTGTGGCCCAGAGGGAAAAAAGTTTGAGAACCACTGTGCTGCATAAAGCAGGCCTTTAAGATTCATGGCAGTCATATACCAGTTGGTACATTTTTATTTGTTTACTATCCTAAAAGCTACAAGTCAAGTTGCCTTACGTTGGAGAACTACAACAAATTGGAAGTCCCTTTACTCCCTTGGCCATAGAAATGGATGCAAGACAACCACAGCTGCCCGTTTGCCTGATAAATTTTGGATGGATGGATTTTTCTTAAAAGACAACTTACATGGCCATCCCACCTGCTCCATTTTATCCTGAGGTAGGTTAGGATGAGGGACAGGACAAAGTCATTCAGCGAGCTGCACGGCTGAGTGTGGAGTTGAAATCTGGTCTCCCAGATCCTAGTCCAGTACTTCTCAAACTTAGGTCTCCAGCTGTTGTTGTACTACAACTCCCATCATCCCAAACTAGCAGGATCAGTGGTCAGGCATGATGGGAGTTCTAGTCCAACAACAGCTGCGAACCCAAGTTTGAGAAACACTGTCCTAGTCCAAGTTTTAGATGCAATCCACATCTCAGGGAAATTCCTGACAAATCTGTTGATTTTTATGGGAAGGAATCATTGACGTTTAATAGTAATCTGTGTTACAGATTGTGAATAACTTGTAATCCTTGTAAATTACAGCAAAAATAATGAGGACTAAAAACACCAACATTGGTCAGCAATCAGAAAGTACTCCTAACTTGCAATTTTTAAGTGGTTCTTGCACCCAACAAAGGATTATTACAAAACCTGAAACAACTTACCTTCTTTTCATGAGGCTCCCTGATAACAGCTGGTCTCCACTTGTCCTTTGTGACTTTTCCTTTTCCTTCCTGAAACTTAGGTTTGCTTTTAAATGGCAAAGCCTTCTGAAGCGCTTTTGGAATATGCAGTTTATTGAAATGTTTCTTTTCTCGCATTATAGGCTAAAATAAAAAAGAGTGAATGTAAATTGAACAGCAACATTCATTTTGCTTTCTAACTTGCCCATTACATTCTGCATTATAATAAGTATGAGGAAAATAGGCAAATAAAATCTCTTGGCTTATGTTCATAGCTCCTTCCCAACCGAAATGTAATCCAAGCTGAATCCTTGGCTGTGTAGGAGGAGTTCATGTTGTCATTTTTGCCTGTGATGACATCTAGCTTATACTGACAAGAGCAAGAGTCACTGGGTGAGCTCTATTTATGTTATCTGAGCAACGCAGGAGGCAACTGCCTTGCAGTGGCTCCCTTAGCATAAACGTAATTCAAAAACAGGGTCTCATGAACAGACTTCATCATCATTTTACAGATCAAATGATGTCACAACTGTTGCGGACAGACAGAATCCTGTTCTATGTACTGCCGCATATCTAGCAAGGGGGCTGAAGGCAATTTTATAAATTGAAAGCTGGAATACTTTACTAATCGGAAGTGGGGAAATTGTGCCTTCCACTTCAACATGTTGGGACTCCTGCTCTCATCAGACCCAGCCAGCAGGGCTAATGGCTGGGGCTGATGAGAGTTGTAGTTCAACCTCATCTGGAATAAGGGGCACTTGTCGCCCAACCCTGCTTTACATAGGCCTGTGAAATCACAGAAGGCCCTCCTTCAGGGTTATCCTGAATCTCAGGCACAAAATCACTAGGTGGATAACTCAGCTGGTTAGAGCATGGTGCTGAGAATGCCAAGGTTGCAGGTTCGATCCCCATAAGGGACAGCTGCATATTCCTGCATTGCAGGGGCTGGACTAATGACCCTCAGGGTCCCTT